ACTACTACACTATTCATCCAAAATTATTGGAAAGAGCTTAAATTTTCAATAATTGAAATGCTGGTTAAATAAACAATGGTAAATCCATATGCTGGAATATTAGCCACATATTTAAAATGATGTTATGAAAAAATAATTAAAAATAAATAAATAAAATGTTGTTATGTTGTAAAAGAATAAATATTTTATTGACTCAGGCAAGCATTCATTCAATTAAGTAAAAATAAACTAGAAACAAAATAGCATAAACAACAACAGAAAGAGTATGTACCATGTGGGGTTTTTTTATTTAAAAAAAAAAAAAGAGTAAATCCTATCAAAAAGGACCTATACCAATATTCACCAAAGTGTTAAAATGTTTATCTCTGGGTGGAGGCATTATAAATGTTATTTATCATTTATGCATTCCTGAAATTTCCTAAAATTATTATGTATTACATTAGAAAATACAGAATGTTTATAATACTGCTTTGACTATAGTAACAATAGTATCCAAAATCATGGTAACATTGATATTCCCACTCTTTTAGGATGCACCAAAACTAGGGATGTCTACCCTCTCTAGATCTGGTCATACTTTTATACTTCAATCACAATGAAAGATTTTCAGGACTCTAGGAAACAATCAGGCATAAGTTTTCACTTCACTTTTATTTATGATCAAGTACAATGTCAAATAATATTTCAATATAGCCAAAGGTAAGAATCATGAGTGAAGAACCCTGGACTTCAGAACCAGCAGGGCTCGGCTTTTACCTCCATCCAAAATTTGAGCCAGAAATTAAAAAAAAAAAAAAGTGTACAGGAATAGATATTAGTTTCTAAAGATAGAAAGTATGGGCCTTTGACAACTTCTAATCACAACTCTTCTCTGTTTCACTTGGGAGACAGAAGAATGATTTTCTCCTCCAATGCATTTAAAGGCATATATCTAAAGGGCAAGTAAGCAGGATTTCTTCCGAACAAATACACTTTATACAGGAGATTTTTAAATGTTAAATGTTCTCTTTCCACAGCGTAGATACTCAGGCAGCCTAACTCCAAGAGGGCCAAAAAGATTCTGGCAGTACTTGGCTCTCAGCAATAAGCAATAGTCAAACTGTTAATTCCATCTGCTCCCCTCCAAAAAATGACAGAATTACATGGTGGTGCCAGGGGTCTCAGGCTCCATTTAAGGGGTTTTTCTGAGGGGCATCCATTTTCATAACAATTAAGATGCTAATTTTATTAACACTTCTGAGAACCTTGATGCTGTTAACAAACAGATACTATCTTTAATATCATATTCTTTGTTAGACATGTTGCTTCCTTAATTGTCTTCTTTCCTTATTGGTCAAAGTTCTGAATTCCATCTACTTCGATTTCTCTCTCTCTTCAGGGACTTAGTTGCAATAGATATCTCATCTTTCCTAATCTCTTACTTCTCACTTTCCTTATGCATGTAAAAAACCAAGCATAATATTCCTTCAACTCATATCCCTCTGCAGCTGTTTTCAACTATGCCTGCACACTGGAATTACCCAGGGAAATTTAAAATACCGAAGCAACCAATCTATAGTAACAAAAGATCAGCTGTTTCTGGGGATGAGAGGGAGATGAAAGGGGCACTAGGAAACTTTTGGAGGAGATGGATATGTTTATTATTTTGATTGTGGTGATGGCTTAATGAGTATAAACATATGTCAAACATTAACCTGTACATTTTAAATATGTATAGTTTATTATATGCCAATTATACTTCAGTACAGCTTTTGAAGTAAATACAGATGCTTGGTCCCACTCCATACCTCAAATTGGTATAGGGGTTCCCCCTTGAAATCAGGATTCATAAAAGCTCCCCCAGCTGACTGTAAATATGTTGGTAAGATTGAGAACCACTGCTCTATAGCTGTCATTCTCTACTTTCCTCAGTGTTTTTTAAATGCTTCACTCAAGCATGTCTACTTTATCAACATCCATTCTTTCTCAATCTTCTGAAGACTAGTTTTGAACCACCACTCAGCTAACACTCTATTTGTTAAAGTCACTTATGGACTCCTGACAAATTCACTAATCCCTGAAGTCCTCTTCTTACTTGACATCTCTTTAATACATTCAAAATTGTTGACCCACTCTCCCTCTATTTGAAAATTTCTTTACCCTTGGCATCCCTCTTGAAGTTCTTCCTACCTTTCCATCTCCTACTCTTTTTTTCTCCTTCACACTATTCTACCTATCTGCTTTTTTAGCTGTCTATTTTCTGACTGCTGCTTTTATTATGCTAAAGGCTTTCCCAGTTTGAGTCATTTCAACATACCCAAGTCAATACAGCATCTTCAATTCAACCCCCAATCTTCTCTCTATTCCAGATTTCACTTACAAGCTCCACATCCTAGATCCAAACATCTACCTACATCTTCACCTGAATGCTCCACAGCTTCCTCAAATTCAAAAAATCCAAAATAGAATTTATCATCTTCCTTCTATCTATGTGTTCCTCACTGCCAATCAATGGAACCAAGTCAAATCCTACAAGTCTTGATTCCTCCTCCTTTCTTTCCAGAGGTGACAGGATCTATCAGATTCTACCTCACCCTGACAGAGGGTCTAAAACACAAATTCACTGGATGGTTTCTAACTCAACATTTTCAATACAATCCCCTTAGCTAAGGGTACAGTGGCCTGGTCTGGCCCTCTACCACCCTCACAGTTCTCATCTTCCACCATTTTCCTATTTAAACCCTGCATTCAAGTCATGTCAGTGTTACTGACTTTGGACTTGTCACTGACAATGACTTGCCTAAACTGCCAGGGTTTCTCTTATCTCCTTGCTTTCTCACTTATTACATTCTCCTCCTGGAAAGTTATTCACTTACCTCCTGTACTTAGCAAAATTACATCATACTTCAAAACTCTACCGAATGCTCCTGACTCTACATATATCCAAGCTAGCCATCTCCTACTCTGCTCCCTCACTACGCAAGGCATACCTCTATTCACACTTATCACAGGGTATTATAATTGCTACTCTATTGAACTGTCTTGTACATTACACAGTAAATTCCTTGATGACAAGAGCTAAAACATTCATTTTTGTATCCCTAATACCTACTTAGCCTGGGGAAGTGCAAATTAATGCTTGACATAATATCAATTATTTACAACATGTAAATTTGATATCCCCAAAATGGTCCTGATATTAACGTTTTTAAAAGATTTCTTAATATTCTTTATAAATATCAGGCAACAGGATCCTGAGTAAAACAGTTGACTACAAGATATATTTAAACTCTTGACTTTCAAAACACCACCACTCTAAAAATGCAACCAAGAGCAGATTTCATAAAATAGGAATACAACAAAGGAAGCAAGCAGGGATAACACATTGACCTAGCCAATGCTTCATCTGAATGTCCGTATACAGATACTGTTAATGCTGATAACAGCATTAGAGAGATTATAATCCCCCTATGGTAATAACTATAGTAAATCATAAAAGGATAAAATACACCAAATCCCGAATTTATTTTTTAAAATAGGCGATGGTTTTCTCCCTGGTCACTTTGTTGAAATGAATTATTGGAACTAGACTTTGAAGCTATTATTGGCCAGGCAGATCCTAAAGAATTTTTTTCTTTCTTGCCTTTACCTGCACTTCAAAAATATGGTGCTTTGGACTAATATTAATTTTGTAAACATTAAAGTGTTTTAACCTGAGGGAAACATGCTTAGAAATTGGGGGTAGGGGTCGGGAGGTGGGGGTGGGGAAGTGGGCCAGGTGATTTATGGAGGTTAGGAGAATGTTCTTACAGAAAACAAGCCTCCCAGGACTACCACATTGGCTCAAGGTTACACCAATATCTGTGTCTTCACGCAGATAAGATTTTAAAAGCTGAAAATTTCAAACTCTAAAGTGTTACACGAACCAAAGAGGTGGCATACCTGCTCCAAAAACTGCTGTGTGACCCAAAGGACAAATAATTTGCAAAGGACAGCTTGGCCCTACTGCTGGTAGTTTGGGATCTGAGACGAGGAGTAACGGCCGGCGGAGCAAACTCCCAAACCTGAAGAGCGGAGCGGCTCCCGGGCGTGTGATAGCGTATTTAACAGAGAACCGATTCTGTGCAGTTCCAAACCACTTAGGGCAAATTAAAATTTTTCAGGAATGTCTAAACTCTGAGGGTACAACTCACACATGTGCACATCGAAGGGCGGATACCCAGTTTTGCCAAAGCCTGGAAACTTCGGGTCTTTCAACGCAACAATTTTCAGACAAAGCCCCCACGATTCTCGACTGTGTTAGAGTCAGCCTCAGGAGAATAACTCATAATAAGAAGAGGGCAAGGGCTGAGGAGATTACAGTGTAAATAGCCGAGGAAGGAATCGTGGCTGCTTTCTGAAGCTTTCCGTCCTGAGGGGGGCCAAAGACCGAGGCGAACCCTGTTTTCAAAGACGAGGGGGGCGACAGTGACCATTTTGGCCATTAGACTGGACGGATAGCGGTAGCCTCGCTGGAAAGGGAAGGAGGGGTAGGAGGGGTGTGAAGGGTGGAAGAGGTCTGGCCGGAGCATCAGCCGCAGCAGGGCGGGGGCTGCAGGTCCCACCCATGCCGACCCCACCGAGGGGCCGCCGGCCTGGCCGAGGCGGCTGCACCCGGGTCAAGCCCGGAGGTTGGACGGCTCCTCGCCAGGGAAAGAAAAAACGCGAGTCCGCGGTCACAAAGCTGCCGCCGCCCAGGCAGCAGACGGGCTGCGCCCAACTTCGGGGCGAGCAGCCGGCGGTCGCAGCCCACCGCCAGGTCCCGACTCACAGACGCCCGGACGCCCCCGGCGCCCAGCAATGTCTCTCGCCCACCCGCAGCGCCTCGCGCGAGAGCGGTTACCCTCAACGAAGCCGCCGTCCCATGGACAAAGTCCCGGTCCCCGCCCCGCCGCCGCCTCAGCCCGACTCCTCCCAGACAAAAAAGTTATCGGTCGCCGGCCGCCCTGGGGGCCCGGCGTGGTTCGCTCGGCCGGACTCACCAGAGCAGCTCCCCAAGGTCCACCTCCAGAACCTCGACTTGTCTGGCTCGCAGAGACAGCGACAGCAGCTGCTCTGCTTTCTCCCGAGTCAGCAGCACCACCTGCCCCCCTTCTTCCTAGCAGAATGGGTCCCGACGAGCCATCTTCCCCCTCCGCTCACTGACTGACAACCCAGCCCCGAGCGCCGCCACTGCCGCCAGCTACTCTGACAGGCACCACGAGGGACCTGTCCCCAGGCAGCCAACCACCACCGCCCCACACCAGCTCGGCCTATCGCCGTTCCCTGGGGCGGGACCAGAACAACTTCTTCACCAATGAGAATCCGCTTCTCCTAGGCCTGGGGCGGAGCCATGAGGTGGGCGGGAGGGCGATTTAGTGGGCGTGGTCTGGGTAATAGGCGTGGTCGGGGCACCCAAGGGGAGATGATTGTCAGATTGCGGCAGCAGTTAGGCGATAGCGATCAGAGAAGGCCTCTTGGACTGAGTCATTAGGGCTTAAGGCCAAGAAAACAAGCCTTTCGGAGTGACTTAACCATAATCACAGAAGAGAAACTAATTGATATTTTAATTTCTTAGTTAGGAGGATTTACCTCCCAATAATTCAAGTCACAAGAATTTCTCAAAATCTTACCAAATCCCAAAAGAAAAAAAGTATGTTTTTGCAAAATGGTAATAAAAACTCTTCTCACCTTATATCATTGCTTTTGGTCTTAGCCTGGAAAAAAAATCAAACACAATTCCACTATTCCTTTCCATGAACTGCTTTTATTTCTTTTATCTTACCTCCCTACTCCTCTCCCAATTACATACTAAATATTTTATGTATTGACTGGAAACTGAACACATTTGAACCATTTCCTACATACAGTCCCTCTGTTTTTGACCTTATCAACTCTTCCTACCACATCTCTTTCTAGTCCAATCAGAATTAATTAACAGGAAAAATGGAACTTCAACCTGGAAGACAGGAAATCATTCTAGTTTTACAAGGAAAATGGAGAACCCAGATCTTTTCAAACACATCTTCTCAAATAAGCACAAAAATGAGAAAATATATTACTTGATATTGAAAGGGCATCAAGCAAACAATTTCAGGCAATTATTAGGGCAGATCTATAGAACAATCATGATTCCCCCTTCCAAGGGTATAGACAGATTCATAACAAAATACGGTGACAAGGGCAACCGAGCTAGGTTCATTGAGCCAGGGGAACACAGAAGAAACTATTGTCTTTAAGAATGTCAGGGAACTTCACAAGGAAGGTGATGTTGGAGCTGGACCTTAAAAGCTAATTAGGAATTTGCCAGAAAAGAAACTTAAAGGGCATTTCAGAAAGTGGGAACAGCATGTTCAAAGGCATGGTGTTGTGAAAGAGCACCGGCTGACTGGGGAACACTGAGAAAGTGGGTGGGGCTGAAAGCTAAGTAGCAGTCAAATATTACGCTACAGTAAAAGGTTGAGATGAAGCTATAAAAGGCCATATGAACTACACTCAGATATTTAGATGAACACTATCTGCCAGAGTTTTCTGCAATGATGAAAATGTTCTATATTTGTGTTGTCCAATATGATAGCTACTAGCACATGTGGCTATCCAGCCCTTTAAATATGGCAAAGCTGAGGAACTCAATTTTTTATTTGAATTTTAATAACTCCCATATTGGACAGCTTACGTTTAGACATTATTCTACAGGCAATAAGTGACCAATGGAAGCTTTTAACCAGGTGGACAAGACAAACAGTTTTCTTCTAAAGCGTGAAAATCCTAAAGACAATGCAGAGAGTGCCTGTTATCTTTGAGGCGAATCTGGCTTGACAGATCAGACCAGGGTACTGGTGGAAAATTGGCAGCATAATTTAGGTCAGCTGGGCCAGAGCCTGTCCAGACGAAGTGTTTACCTGAAGAAAAAGGGACAGGAAGATACAGAGAGGATGCTGTGCTCTAACATCTTAGAGAACACAAGCAGTCAAAACCCGAGAAACTGAATTCTGCCATTGATTCCTGACAGAACAGGGAGTAGGAGAGTGAGGGGTCAGAGAAGGAAAGGAAGCCAAAGGGTCAGCTGAATCATAAAACAGAGAGAGAGCAAGGGTGAGCAGAGGAGTGCACACACACACACAATCAGCTTTACTGGCCATTATCCATGTGGGCCACTGATGTGCTGGCCTGATTTACAGAGCCAGAGAGTCTGTTGGCAGGAAGGCCCACTAGGACCAGGGCAAGACTCCAGCAGAGCTGAAGTCCCCAAACCACACCTGTGAACTGGGGATGGAAGAAAGGGGTGAATACTTATGGACTTCCTGCGCTATGCAAGGCACTTGCCTTGTCAAGGACACAAAGGAATGCCAGAAGCTCACAGTATAGGTAGCTGAATAACAAACAGGTGAACAGTTGAGCAAAGATGAATCATTTAACACAGTAGAAGAAATCACACAAAGCAGTACATGAGTGATTCACTGTTCAGATTAATTTCTAGGCAATAACTGCTCTGTGAGTTCAGAAGAGGGAGCAATCTCCAGTCAAGGGTAGTCAGGGAAGGCTTCACAGGGGAGGTAAAAACTGAGCTAGGTCTTGAAAAATGGGCAGAACTTTAAATCAGGAAGGAAAAAAAAAAAGTAATGAGAAGGAAACTCTTGGAATGCCTGGAAAAGAAACAGAAGAGGGGAAGTACAGGCAAAGTATTAAAGACATGGGAAGCCTTCTGAGCTGGCCAGAGCCTGGCAAGCTGGGCTGGAGGTAGATAAAAGCCAACTCAAACGCTCAGATTCTGTCTTTATTTTTAAAGCTTCCCAAGTGATTCTAACAAACACCCAGGGTTGAAAACGGGAATGACATAACATTTTACTAATTCTAAATCAAGACTGTGCATAGGATGGATTGAGAGGAGAGAGACTAAAGGCTCACAGGAGGAAATTTTGTTTCCTTTCTTCAAAAAGACAGGAAGCAGTTTATCGCCTGACTTTACTTCCTGTTTTGCAGTGGTAAGATGGTATAGAAGGCAGTTTAAGTTGTCTTCCCTCTAAGTCAGCGTAGGACCAAAATAAATGGATGTTTGCAGTCCACTCTCCTTTGCAACACAATTTGTACATGTAAAAATAATTTCCAACAATAACAGTCTGCAGTTAACAGTTACACATAACTTTTATGTTTTAGCAGCAAAGCACCAGGAAAATGCCTGAGAACATTCTGTTTCAAAAGGGAGACACTTTTAACCTACTTTATGAAAGTCAGCATATTCTAGACCTTAACCAGCCATCTTTGCTAGTCTCTGGTATCTGTAGGCACAATTTTACATTAACTATTAAAATGCATTTATCTTTTTTGCAAATAAGTATAATGTCATTTGAACATTATAAAGCACAATATTTTCCCTATGATAATAAATTTCAGAAACTTTAAGAAAAATTTCACTCAAATATATTTCTATTAAAGTTAGTGGGAAAACAGCTAGATAACAAGACTTTTTCTCCAGCTTTATTGAGATATAATTGACACATAATGTGTAAATTTATGGTGTGTAACATGATGATTTTATATACATATAGATTGTGAAATGATTGCCACAATAAGATTAGTTAACACATTCATCACTTCACATAGTTAAGCCTTTTTTTCTTTTTTCTTTTTCTTTCTTTTTTCTTTTCTTTTCTTTTTCTTTTTTTTTTTTATGGTGAGAACATCTAGGATCTACTCTCTTAGCAACTTTCAAGTCTACACTACAGTATTGTTAACTGAAGTCACCACACTGTGCATTACATCTCCAGAACTTATTCATCTTATAACAGGAAATCTGTACCATTTGACCAACATCTCTGCATCTTCCCTCCAAGCCTCTGCAACCACCAACCTACTCTTTCTATGTACCAGGAGCACTTTACATGAAAGATTCAGAAGAATTTTATCTCGCAAAAAAACATGGAAAATATGTTACTTTAGTGGCAAGTATGTTAAAACACATTTTAAAAAATCAAAAGAAAAAAAAAAATCAAAAGAAGACTGTGCCTAAGAGGTCATTTTGTCTTGCTGTACCAGAGTCCTCTTCTAAGAGAACCATGCCAGCCAGTGCCCCTAGCAGAGCCACACAACCCCTTCTTAGAACCATATAACCCAAGGGCAGCCAGGTCCACAGGTGACCCGATGTGAACACTCCACCTAAACAGAAATAGAGATGACTGCCTGTACCCATTCTCTTTCAAGAATCTGAAGTGAAAATGGGAAGGGAAAATCAATCAGGTGGTGGGAGCAGTAGCTCAAAAGTCAGGCAGTAGAAAGAAGCCTGGAGAAACCCTAAGAGGGGCAAGCTATGAGTAAACTGAAGCCGTTAGGTAGAGAAGAGACATAAAAAGTAGAGGAAATATCTCAGTGGTAGAGCACATGCTTAGCATACAGGAGGTCCTGTGTTCAATCCCCAGTACCTCCATTAGAGGAAAAAAAAAAGAAAGAAAAAAACCTAAAAGGTAGATGATAAAGTAATTGGTAACAAAGGAGCAGTAGAAATGGAGACAGTAGGATGAGTCACTGCAATAAAGATAGGAATCAATAAAGTCCTGCTGTAGAGGGATAAGAAGATAACCCATTTCCTACAGCTACACTGAATCACAGCCGTTCCCATCTGTGCGGCCCAACCGCAGCTGTTTCCAGAGTCCTGTAAGAGTCCCACCTGCATCCCCTGGGACACTGCAAGTAAATTGTTGTATCTTTCACTCCTATATAAACCAATAAGTAGACTTCCAGAACCCCCATGAGCCCCAGCAAGTGAAAAAAGCTGGATCAATTGCATTTTGCAAAGGGAACTTTATCCTTCAAGGTTCGTTACCAGCTTACATTTTAGAAGGAAGAAAACATTTTCTACATCTTAAAAGGATTCATAATTTGAATATTTTTATAATAGATATTTTAAGGAGAAAATGATCTTCTTTCTCTTATCTTTTAATAGTGGAGCCAATCTTGTTCATATTTATGAAAAAGCCATATGGATAGGGGTGAAAAGCCTAATGACTAACTGCTACCCTCAAGTGATTGGAAATGAAAAATATCCACATTTATCTTCTAAGACATTTTACTAACCAATGTTTTCTAGAAGAATTATTGTTGAGAGAGTCTTGTTTTGCAGGTTTTATAAATCATGTTTTGCAAAATATTTTATGACAGGAAAAAGATGAAAAAGGTGGATACAAAACTGCATATATGACATGGTCACAATT